CCACGGAGGCCCTGAGCTAGAGAAACAGCGACCCCCAACTCTCCTACCAGCCACCACGACGAGCTGTCCCTGCAGCCTAGCCCGGCTGACCATGGAATGGGGCAGGGGAGGTTCCCTTAAAAAAAACACACACACCAGCCTAGCGGGTATTGCTCAGGGGTTGAGCTTTGACCTAGGAACTAGGATGTCACAGTTCAATTCCTGGTCAGGGCACATGCCCGGGTTGTGGGCTTGGTCCCAAGTGTGGGGTATGCAAGAGGCAGCCGATCAATGATTCTCTCTTGTCACTGATGTTTCTATCTCTCTCTTCCTCTCCCTTCCTCTCTGAAATCAATAAAAATATCCTATATAATAAAACCCTAATATGCAAATTGACTGAACAGCAGAACAACCTGCGGAATGACTAGTCGCTATGATGCGCACTGACCACCAGGAGGCAGATGCTCAACGCAGGAGCTGCCCCCGAGGGTAAGGCGACCAGCGGCAGCAGCGGGGTTGGGGGCAGTGCTGGCCAGCGGGCGATGTCAGACCCCCAGCCAAGGTGGGTGCCAGTGGGGGCCCCCCAATCATCCCGTCCGCCGGTCGCCCCACAGATTGGCCCTGATCGCCGGCCAGGCCTAGGGACCTTACACTATATATTGGGAACAGTCTCTTAGATTTAAACATTAAAACCTGGCAAGGCTGCTCTAACACTGAAAAAATAGCATCATGTAGCGATGACATGCATGGGCTCTGGCTTGCACACATTGTGGTCAGCCCTGGCCCTGACACTTAAAACTGTGTGGCAAAGCCAATTACCTAACTTCTCTCTGCTTCAGTTTTTCCACCCATAAGATGGGGAAATGGTGCTACTGCCTCAGCAGGATCATATTATGTACTACTTTTTATAATCAGGGCAAAAAAAAATGTAGCTGCCCATACAGCAGCAAGATGCCTTTCACCTGTGTGAAGTGTGGTCACTGGTACATGCAGCGTCCGGATTGTGAGGATGTCTGACTGCAGTTGGACATCCCCCAAGGGCACAGGCTGGGCTGAGGGACACCCGCCACCCCCCCCCCGTGCACAAACTTCGTGCACCGGGCCTCTAGTCTCTCTCTATATATATAAAAGGCTAATATGCTAAGTGTCTGACCATCTGGATAATGATGTAGTAACACCCTGCTTCCTCTCCCTAGCAACCAGCCTCCTTGAAATTTCTTCAGCCCAGGAACAGGACTTGCTCTACAGCCAGGTGGAAACATTTTACACTGTAACCAAATGTCTGTGAAGTGTTTTCCATGCCTCATCTCATTTGATCCTCACAGAAGTCCTGGAGTAGGCAGATAGGAGACTCAGTGGAATCCTATTTTCTTTCCGTTAGCCAGAAAACGGAGATTTAGAAAGCTTAGAAACTTGACCCGACTGAAAAGAAGAAATGGTGGACCTTGAAAATGACTTCAGGTTTTCTCACTGTGCAGAATATAGTCAAACAGGGGTACAGTTAAATATTTCACCTTTTGTTCTCCCTGTGTGATGTACAATAATCATCTGCTTCGTGTTGGTATTTACTGCTGTGTTGCTGACAATTACCTGAAAGAGAAGTTGGGGTGCTTCACTGGGCTGGAAAAAGTTTAGCTAAACCAGAAAGCAGGTCTAATGAAGCAAGTTTGTTCTATATCTGGAAAAGGCTAAGCTGACACGCGCATGCACCATACATAGAAAGCTCTCGCTGGCGCCAATCCCTCGGCATGTCTTTCATTTGTCACTGTGGGTCATGAATTTGGTTGACACTTCCATTAGAGAGAAAAGGCGAGTTGGGACATTAAAATACTTCTTCCAATTAATTCCCTTTCAATGTATATGAATTCGTGCACCGGGTCACTAGTATTTTAATAAAATAAACACCTAAAAACTAAAATATATGACCTGTCAGTTAAGTAGTTACTGCCTCAGCTCCAAACTCGTTCTTCGCTCGGCTGTGACACTGGTGGCCTCGCAACGAATCCTGGCTGGTTTCGGCCATTGCGCCTGGGACTGCGAGCCGGGCAGCCCAACGAGGCCCAGAAACACTCGAGGGCGCGGACCAGGAGGCCAGAGCAGGCCGTGGGCGCCGTCGCACGCCCCGAGGACTGGCTGTGGGGAAAAAGACAGCCCGGGCAGGCGCGAACTCGGGAAGGGGCAGCTCTGCAGGGGCCCAGGGAGCAGGCGCAGCACAGATCCTCACCGCCAGACCACGCAACTGGTGGAAAGGGAACATCCTGCCGAGGCTTCAACGCGCGTCTGACCCACTTCCCGGGTCCCACACAAACCCGCCGGAAGTTCCGCCTCAGCGTTCCGGGCCGCTCTAGCCCGCGCGAGCCCGTCTCCCTGGTGGGCTCGGCGCCTTTCCGCTGCA